ATTTATTTTCTTTTAAAGTACCTCTATGATGATTTCATAGGATTTGGTGAGTAAGGAAAAGCAGATGTGTGTGCTCCCTCCTCCCACCCTTGACCTCAGAGAACTGGGAGTTTGTTAGTGTGCATCCGTCTCTCTGAGTCTGAGTGAATCTGATGAACTTAAGTTACTGGGCTGTGGGCCCTAGTGACCCCATCAATACAATGTAGCCTTATGAAGCCTGGCTTGGCCAACAGCTGGCCTTCCTCTAAAACCTCTAGCTCTAGCCTTTCAAATTTAACACTGTCCTCATTAACCAAGATATTATAAAGTATTTTTTTTCAATTCAGAGAGGAAATGAATTGCATAAAAGCTAGATAATAAAAATGAGGTTCTAATGCCTGACACCACATTTCCTTCTTACTAATCAACTCAAATCTTAAAATCAAAGATATCCACCCGCATCCTTAGGGAACTCATTGAAAATCTTATGCAGCTGAAAAAATTTCTAATCTCCTTTTACCATAGCTCTACTAGTCAATTAAAGACTTTTCAAAATGTAAAATATGCATTTTTATGTCTAGTCTCAAAGTCACTGAAGACCAGATTTTGACAATTGATTTATATGCTGAATATGCCTACCCTATGAAAAGAAATTTGGTTAATTTGGGAGTTTGGGAGTGTGCTAAACTATTTTTATCTGACTTTCCTACTAGCATAGCATTTATAAACTGCAGAAAAACTTGCTTTTTATTCCCTCATTAAAAAAAAATTTATATTCTCAATGCTTTTGGTTTTGTACTTTTATGTAATTTCATGGCTATGTTGGATTTGGAGGAAAAGTGTTCACTGTGAACCCATTTATCCAAGACCAAATGTGAATAAACATAGAGCACGAAATCACAAAACTGTGACTGAATTTATTATTTTTAAAAAAGTATGACTTGGCCTTTGACTACTAATCTCAGCCAATATAGAGAAGAGACCTTGAGCTATCAGCTGAGTCAGCACCCCCCCTGTCAACACCCAACTGTCAACTGGATAAACCAGTCGTTCCAGATCTTTCTGTTGAATCAATAGACCCACGTCCTTGGCCTCCTGCTAACAGTCTTATCCTTTTCCTCTACCTTCTCTAAGATACACCAAATAAGAACTCCAGTTTGTAAACAATTGGTATAAATGGTTTCTATTATCTTGGGAAAACCTATGCGAATGGAGGCTTTCATCTTATTTTGGAGTTTATTCTATTCTAGCACCGTGATAGTAAATAAGTTCTTCCCTGTGCTCATCCAAAATGTTGTCCTTTGCTGTAAACTCATTTTCTCTTAATTAAAATTATTGGACATAGAAAATCGTCACTCATCATCCTCTGTATTATCCTTGGAGACAATGCACAAGATCTCTCTTTGACCTATTCTAATTTTTACTTGTGAAAAAATGGAAACCTACTTTTCATTTCTCATCATTTTTGGATGCTGTTCAGCAATTCCATGTGATTATTGAAATGTGGCCAAAATGGGACCCCATTTACTAGATCTTTGTAGAGATGGTAGCTTTTGAAAGATTGAAACAATAGGAGAAATTAAACAGGAAATGATAGATTTAACTGTCTAAAATTTTTGAATTTATATACCATGAAAATTAATAAAGCTGGCTAGGAAACATTAAAATAGTAAAAAATTCATATCTATACAATCTAAAGAATTTACTTACTTGTATGAAAATCTGCTTATATATAAGATCAAATTTTTAATGAATAATTATGTTCATTTTTTAATACTTTGGTTATTTTCATTTAAAACCATCTTTTTGAGTAACATCAAGATGCCAGTAGATACATGAATCCTGAATAGACAATATTCTTATTGGCCAACATTCACTTTTCCTCAAAATCTAGTTGACGTGTCATGTCTTGGAAATCCTCAAGAAACTCCTAGGGAAAGTAAGCTCTTCTTTAAACCTGTGATTTTGTATTCCATAACACATTGTACTGCCCTTGTTTAATAGTCACAACAGTATTCTGCAATTATTTATATGACTGTCTTCCTACTAGAAATAACCAACCGCATGATAAGATGTCAGAGCAGGGACGATGTCTTTGCTTCATTATCTTTTCATTGTCCAACATGGTGTCTGCCATATGCAGTAGGTGCTTCATAATTGCTTATAGAATGAATTAGTTCACATTAAAATAAGTGTAAATAGTAATTAGAGAATTATAGAAAAGACCCCCCTTCTCAAGCTCTTAATCAAAAGTCTGCAATATAATGCAATATTATTTTGTTCAAAAAGACTTTAATGTGTTGAAGGACGTGTTCATTTTGCCTAGGAATTTTTAAAATATGAATATTATTAAAGATATGAAAAGATAAGAGTTTTCCTGAAATTAATTTATAAATTCAGTTTAATGACAGTTTACAGGGTTCTTAAAACTTAGCACACTCATTCCAAAGTCCATCTAGAGAAACAAACATAAGAGAAGAGCCAGATAGAAAAAAATAACGAAGAGAAATAACCCTATTAAATATTTAAATGTTTCACTAAATTACAGTAATTAACATGCTGTGGACTGCTGTGGAAACAGAAAGATTCTATTAATAAAGAGAATGAGAAATTCAGAAATGATCAGAAGCATGTATAAACATTATTTTACAATAAAGTTAGCCTCTCAGAAGAGGTGATGAAAGGTTGGCCTGTCCAATAAATTATATTATGAGAAATGGAAAGGCATTTGACAAAGGTCATCTGAATCTCTACATCACTTCTTTCACCAAAAGAAATTCAATGGCTTAAACTCTTAAAGTACTACAATGACAACAACAACAAAACCCCTAGAAGAACATGTCAATAAATAAAAAAAAAAAAAAGTTTGAATGAGGAAGACCATACTAAGCATGACATGATATTAACAAACCATGAATGATTAGATTGACTCTTTAAATTTTTAAAAAATCCTGAAATTTCCATGCAGCAAAAAAGAACCCTACAAAACAAACAAAAAACTCTCCATAGACAAAATCAAAAGATAAACAAGAAACAGAAATAATAATGTTTGTAATACATGAAGCACTAATCTCTTTAATATGCAGAGTTCATACCAATCCATATAGAAAAGATTAATGTTCCAATAAAAAGATGAGCAAAGGATATGAACACAAAATTCATAGGAGAGTAGTAAATGGCTAATAAATCTATAAAAAGATAATAAAAGAGTATCAAAGTAAAACAATGAAATTCCATTTTTTACTTAGCAGATTAGTAAATTTTAAAAAAATTGATGACATACAGTATTGGCCACAGAGAGAGGAAATTAATACTCCCCCCAAAATTGGTGGAGGGGTGAGAAGGTGCATAAAATATTCTAGAGGGGTTTTTGGCAATAGTAATAAAACATTTACATTAAAACAAACAAGCAAAAATGTGTTTAAGGGTGTTTATTGTAGCATTGTTTGAAATAATAAATGCTAGATACAACCTGAATGTCTATCAACAGGGAATTAAATTATTACAGAGCCATACAATGGATCTCTATGCAGCTCACAGAGAATGTACTAGAATAGAAGAATATGAAAAGGTGTCTGTTATATCATTAATCAAAAAGAAAAGCAAGTTCAGAACAGTGGTAGAATGGGATCCCATTATTTTTGTGTTGTCATTTTTGTTTTTTTTGACTGCATTGGGTCTTTGTTGCTGTGCGTGGGCTTTCTCTAGTTGCAGTACGCTGGCTTCTCATTGCAGTGGCTTCTCTTGTTGAGGAGCATGGGCTCTTGGCGCGCAGGCTCCAGTAGTTGCAGCATGCGGGCTCAGTAGTTGTGGCACACGGGCTGTAGAGCATGTGGGCTTCAGTAGCTGTGGCACATGGACTTAGTTGCTCTGCGGCATGTAGGATCTTCCCGGACCAGGGCTTGAACCCATGTCCCCTGCGTTGGCAGGTGGACTCTTAACCACTGCACCACCAGGGAAGTCCCCCCCCATTTGTTTTTTTAATGAGTATTAACAGCATTTATGCTTTGCATGTATTTATATAAAAACTATCTGAAAGGACATACAATTTATTAACAGTGGCAACTTCTGGAAACGGGACTGAGAGGAGAAAGTTATGATAGAATTTTACTTTTTACTTTACATTTTCTTTTACTTTTTTATGAGTATGAGGTACTTTTGTCATTAAAGTTTAAAATGTAAAATAAAACTCACATTTTACATAGCAAACATTAGAGGCAAAACCCTTTGACAAACAATCTGGCAACAGGTGATGACCCACAGGGCTGGGGCTAGGGTGGGGCAAGAGAGGCACGTGCTTTGGGCACAAAATTTAAGAGGACATCAGAAAACCCAGAAATCAAGATGAGTGATATTTTAATACACTATTTAAAAACTTTTTTTATTGAAGTATAGTTGATTTACAATATTGTGTTAGTTTCTGGTGTATAGCAAAGTGATTCAGTTATACATATATATATTTTTTCCAATTCTTTTCCGTTATAGATTATTACAAGATATTGAATATAGTTCCCTGTACTATACAGTAAATCCTTGGTTTTTATCTATTTTGTACATCATGGTGTGTATCTGTTGGTCCCATACTCCTAATTTATCCCTCCCCCACCTCTTTCCCCTTTGGTAACTGTAAATTTGTTTTTTATGTCTTTGAGTCTGTTTCTGTTTTGAAAATGAGTTCATTTGCATTATGTTTTAGATTTCATACATAAGTGGTATCATATAATATTTGTCTTTCTCTGTCTAGTTTACTTCATTTGGTATGATAATCTCTAGGTCCATCCATGTTGCTGCAAATGGCAATGTTTCATTCTTTTTTATGGCCAAGTAATATTCCACTATATATATATTTATATATACATTTATGTATATATAATGAAATGTATGTATATACCACATCTTCTTTATCCATTCATCTGTTGATGGACACTTAGGTTGTTTCCATGTCTTGGCTATTGTAAATAGCACTGCTATGAACACTGGGGTGTATGAACCTTTTCAAATAGAGTTTTTGTCTTTTCCAGATATATGCCCAGGAGGGGGATTGCTGGATCATATGGTAACTCTATTTTTAGTTTTTTAATTTTGTCATTTTAAGAATGGTATATAAGGCTTCCCTGGTGGCACAGTGGTTAAGAATCTGCCTGCCACTGCAGGGAACCCGGGTTTGAGCCCTGGTCCGGGAAGATCCTACATGCTGTGGAGCAACTAAGCCCGTGTGCCACAACTACTGAGCCTGCACTCTAGGGCCCTGTGCTCTAGGGCCCGCGAGCCACAGCTATGAGCCCACACACCGCAACTACTGAAGCCTGTGCGCCTAGAGGCCGTGCTCTGCAACAAGAGAAGCCACTGCAGTGAGAAGCCCGCGCACCGCAGCAAAGAGTAGCCCCCGCTCGCCGCAACTAGAGAAAAGCTTGTGCCAGCAGCGAAGACCCAACTCAGCCAAAAATAAATAAATTGGAAAAAAAAAAAAGGAATGGTATATAAACGGAATCGTACAATATGTGACCTTTTGAGATTAGCTTTTTTTATTCAGCATAACAACCTTTTAAAATTCATCCGTACTGTTGCGTGCATCAGTGGTTTGTTTTCATTGTGGAGTAGCATTCCATGGTATGGATGTTACCATGTCATTTTCAACCATTCACCTATTGAGGGAAATTGTAGTTCCAGTTTTGGGCTGTTTCAAATACTGATGCTATGAGAAATCATGTGTCAGCTTTTGTTCATTTCTTTAAAATAAAAGCCCCAACTATCAAACTCTTAGAGGAAAACATAGGCAGAACACTCTATGACATAAATCACAGCAAGATCCTTTTTGACCCACCTCCTAGAGAAATGGAAATAAAAACAAAAATAAACAAATGGGACCTAATGAAACTTAAAAGCTTTTGCACAGCAAAGGAAACCATAAACAAGACCAAAAGACAACCCTCAGAATAGGAGAAAATATTTGCAAATGAAACAACTGACAAAGGACTAATCTCCAAAATTTACAAGCAGCTCATGCAGCTCAATAACAAAAAAACAAACAACCCAATCCAAAAATGGGCAGAAGACCTAAATAGACATTTCTCCAAAGAAGACATACAGATGGTCAACAGGCACATGAAAAGATGCTCATTATTGTTAATTATTAGAGAAATGCAAATCAAAACTACAATGAGGCATCACATCATACTGGTAAGAATGGCCATCATCAAAAAGTCCACAAACAATAAATGCTGGGGAGGGTGTGGAGAAAAGGGAACACTCTTGCACTGCTGGTGGGAATGTGAATTGGTTCAGCCACTATGGAGAACAGTATGGAGGTTCCTTAAAAAACTACAAATAGAGCTACCATACGACCCAGCAATCCCACTACTGGGCATATACCCTGAGAAAACCATAATTCCGAAAGAGTCATGTACCAAAATGTTCATTGCAGCTCTATTTACAATAGCCAGGAGATGGAAGCAACCTGAGTGCCTATCATCGGATGAATGGATAAAGAAGATGTGGCACATGTATACAATGGACTATTACTCAGCCATAAAAAGAAACGAAATTGAGTTATTTGTAGTGAGGTGGATGGACCTAGAGTCTGTCATACAGAGTGAAGTAAGTCAGAAAGAGAAAAACAAATACTGTATGCTAACACATATATATGGAATCTAAGAAAAAAAAAAAAGGTCGTGAAGAACCTAGGGGTAAGACGGGAATAAAGACACAGACCTACTAGAGAATGGACTTGAGGATATGCGGAGGGGGAAGGGTAAGCTGTGACAAAGTGAGAGAGTGGCATGGACATATCTACACTACCAAATGTAAAATAGATAGCTAGTGGGAAGCAGCTGCATGGCACAGGGAGATCAGCTCTGTGCTTTGTGACCACCTAGAGGGGTCAGATAGGGAGGGTGGGAGGGAGGGAGACGCAAGAGGGAAGAGATATGGGAACATATGTATATGTATAACTGATACACTTTGTTATAAAGCAGAAACTAACACATGATTGTAAAGCAATTATACTCCAATAAAGATGTTAAAAAAACAAAAAAGCCCCAGAGTGCAATTGCTGTGTTACATTGGCTGTACCATTTTACATCCCCACCAGCAATATAAGAGTGGTCCAGTTTCTCTGCATCCTCTCTAGCATTTGGTGTTTGTTATGGGCTGGATTATGTCTTTCCTAAATTCATATGTTGTAGCCATAACCCCCAGTACATCAGAATATGAGTATATTTGGAGATAGGGTCTTTAAAGAGGTGATTAAGGTTGAGTAAGGTCATTGGTGTAGACCCTAATCCAATACAACTGGTGTCCTTATAAGAAGAGATTAGGACTAAACATATACAGAGAAAAGACCATGTGAAAACACAGGGAGAATATGGCCATCTACAAGTCAAGGAACAAGGCCTCAGAATGAAATCAACCCTGCCAACAGTTTGCTCTTAAACTTCTGGCCTCCAGAATTGTGAGAAATAAATTGCTGTTGTCTTCAGCCACCCAGTCTGTGGTATTTGTTACAGCAGTTTTAGTAAACAAATGCAGTATTGTCATAATTTTTTATTTTAACTGTCTGACAGGTGTGTAGTGACATCTCATTGTACTATTAATTTGCATTTTCCTAATGCCTAATGATGCTGAACATCTGCTCATGTGCTTATTTGCCACTTGTATATCATTTTTGGTAAAATGTCTCTTCATGTCTTTTGCCTGCTTTCTAATTGGATTGCTTGTTTTCATAATGTTGACTTTTAAATGTTCTTTGGATATTCTAGAAATGAGACCTTTGTCTAATATGTGATTTGCAAATATTTTCTCCCCATCTATAGCTTGCCTTTTCATCCTCTTAACAGGGTCTTTCACAGAGCAAAATTTTAATTTTGATGAAGTCCAATTTATCCATTTTTTTCTTTTATGGATTGTGCTTTTGGTGTTATGACTAAGAACTCTTCACTAAGTCCTAGGTCCTAAAGACTTTCTCCTATATTATCTTTTAAAAATTTTATAGCTTTACTTTTTTTTTTTTTTTTTTTTTTTTTTTTGTGGTACGCGGGCCTCTCACTGCCGTGGCCTCTCCCGTTGCGGAGCACAGGCTCCGCGGCCATGGCTCACGGGCCTAGCCGCTCCACGGCATGTGGGATATTCCCGGACCGGGGCACAAACCCATGTCCCCTGCATCGGCAGGCGGACTCTCAACCACTGCGCCACCAGGGAAACCCTATAGCTTTACATTTTACATTTAACTCTATGATCCATTTTGAGTTAATTTTTTTTATAAGGTGTGAGGTTCAGGTCAAGTTTTATTTTTTGTTTTTGAGGAGTTTTTTTGTTTTGTTTTCTTTTGTTTTGTTTTGTATTGCCTATGGATAGCCAGTTGCTCCAGCACCATTTACTAAAAAGACAGTCCTTCCTCTATTGGATTGCACTTGCCCTTTATCAAAAATTACTTGACTGTACTTGTGTGGGGATATTTCTGGGTTCTCTATATTGTTCCACTGATGTATATGTCGATCCCTCTGCCGAAATCACACAACCTTGATTACTGTAGCTCTACAATAAGCCTTGAAATCAGGTAGAGTGATTCCTTCCATTTTTTTCTTTTTCAGAATGGTTTTAGCTGTTCTACTTTCTTTACCTTTCTATATAAATTTTAGAATTATCTCACCTATCTACAAAAAATATTGCTAGGAATTGCATAAAAGCTGTATATCAGTTTGAAGAGAATTCACATCTTTAGTATGCTGAGTTTTCCAATCCATGTATATGGAAAGTCTGTATATTTACTTAGATTGTCTTTGATTTCTTTCATCAGAATTTTGTAGTTTTCAGTATACAAGTCTTGTACATGTTTTGCTAAATTACACCTAAATATTTCACTTTTGAGGAGTAATTGTAAGTGATGTTGTATTCTTAATTTTGATTTCTACATATTCATTGTTGGTATGTACACAATTACTGGCATCTCTACTAGTATACAATTTATTTTATTTTTTATAAATTTATTTTATTTATTTATTTTTGGCCACACTGGGTCTTCGTTGCTGCGCACGGGCTTTCTCTAGGTGCAGCGAGCGGGGACTACTCTTCATTGCGGTGCACAGACTTCTCATTGCGGTGGCTTCTCTTGCTGTGGAGCACGGGCTCTAGGTTTGTGTGCTTCAGTAGTTGTGGCATGTGGGTTCAGTAGTTGTGGCACACAGGCTTAGTTGCTCCGTGGCATGTGGGATCCTCCCAGACCAGGAATTGAACCTGTGTCCCCTGCACTGGCAGGCAGATTCTTAACCACTGCGCCACCAGGGAAGTCCCCCAAAATATATTTTTAATACATTTATAGTAATGTTTCAATAGTAAACGCATTTAGTTTTTTTACAACTTTAGTAATTATTTTGCCATTGCAAAATATAGCAGGAGGATGACTGGACCTTGGCAGCTTAACTCAATCGTGTAATAAAAAAGACACTTCACCATCCATACCATCCCTGAGGAAATGGCTTCAGTAGCTAAATTCTTATCAACTTCCGGTAACTTTTGCCCATACAAGAAATCAAAATGAATTAAAAAGGGGAATTTTCTCTCCAAAGACTAAATTTCTAGATTCATATACTTTTTCTATTTTATCTTCTTTATCTCCAGTGGTACATTTCCCCTTCCTGTCTGCTCTGGCCCCGCACACAGAACTCAAGATTATGGTGAGGAATATGGGAATACAACAGGATGAGACTCAGGGGAGTCACTTCCCTCAGCCATTTGTACGTAGAGCCACTTACCTGGTTGAGGCCCTTATCATCTCTCCTGGGGGAATATTGTAACAGCCTCCAATTGGCCCCCCTGCCTCCTCCAGCCTCATTCTCTTCCCATTCATTTTCTGTACAGCTATTGCAGTTTTTTTGTTTTTTGTTTTTTTGCTGTACGCGGGCCTCTCACTGTTGTGGCCTCTCCCGTTGCGGAGCACAGGCTCCAGACGCGCAGGCTTAGCGGCCATGGCTCACAGGCCCAGGTGCTCCGCGGCATGTGGGATCTTCCCAGACCGGGGCACGAACCCGTGTCCCCTGCATCGGCAGGCGGACCCTCAAC